TGGATTCATTTTAGAAACCCTAGAATGAACCGCAAAGAAGAGTGTCTCTCTATCACACGAGAACGCACCGTATCTTAATCAGATCTTTTGATCAAGTGAAGACATGTTTAATTCCTTGCTCAAGCAGTCAGTAAGCACTCGCTCGTACTCACCAGAACTTTACCGGCGAACGAAAGGGTTAGCCTAAATAAATAGATTACCAATCTCGGTTGTGGCTAAACAGTCGAAGAGTAACAGTATTCATCATGCCGAGATTTATAGAAAGTCGAACTTTTCGAATCTTAGGAGTGTTTTTGCGCCTAATGCAAATTTTTAGCGGTTCATAATTAAACGAACACCTCAAACAAAAGTCCATTTTTCATTCAAGATTGCAATCATGTGAGTCCAAATTTTTTGTGGAGTTACAGTAACAAAGTCTGACATAGCACGATTTCGAGCCTCAAAACTCAGCTTCTGAGGCCGTACAATGAAGTAAGCATATAGTATGTAGAAGTTCACAAGAGTGTATATTTAGCTAGAAAAAACCAGCAGCGTTGAGCGTTTGTTTTGGCCGCGCAGACATCATTTCACCAAGAACACTGTTTTTACTATTGCAATCACAACCTTTATTTGGGTTGTAGCTCCACAGCCTCAAGATCAGTTCTACAAAAAACCCAAAAATTTTGGCACAGAAACATCATCGTGCAGACAATGCAGCAAATATACTTCATATCAAATGTTTGCGCAACAGAGAAGCTGAGTTTTGAGGCTCGAAATCGTGCTAACTCTGTGGTAAGGTTGAAACTTGATTGAAAAACGGCACGAAAACGCAAAGATTTTCCAGGCGTCAAACAAAACACCTATCGAAAGAGCTTATTTTATCTCATAGTTGGTAGAAGCTATTTAGAGCGCGTAAACCACAAGAACGGTGTTTTTGGAGCGCAATCACTCCAAAAGCGTTTACAGCCTTCTGAAAAAAAGTAACGGTCCTCTTTTTGAACTGCACTGGATTCAGTGCGTAGCAGATATGTCAGACTTTGTTACTGTAACTCTACAAAAAAAAATCTTAAACGAAAATTGGACCTTTGTCTGAGGTGTTCGTATTAATTATGAACCGCTAAAAATTCGCATTAAGAGCAAAAACATTCCTAAAATTGACATCGATTTCCATTCTTATGGGTCATATACCGTTTTCGGCTGTGTTCTATCACGTGGTACCAACGGCATTTTGAGTTTCTATCAAAAAGCCCGAAAACTTACAAAATTTTGGGTGTTCATACAATTATGAACTGCACTTCAGCTTTCACTAAAAACTTTTCACCAGTTTCCTGAGCTATTAGATTGTCCGGAAATTGATGCAGGTTTTGAATTCCAACCGCAATAAGTCATACGCTTCTCATTTCTAAGTAGGTTGCAAGGTACGGTTCGATAGAGCAAAGCAAGCTCTGCCAGATGGCTTTCTTGCTTTAGCAGTAGCTCTGATCCACAACGAGTTTCGCGCCAAAAACTAAAAACGTTCAAGTGTCCGAAAAATTGAGAAAAATCGTAACTCAGTTCATAAAAATCCTATAGAAATTTTAGCTTGCTCACGTAAACATAATCCACATAGAGCATCTATATACGCCTTGCCGTATTTTTTTCTCTGTTGAAAATCAAGAAAACGGAGATTTTCGTGCATTTGTCGAAGTGGTGCTGTGCCGTCCCCACATAGGTAGTTGTATACCACAAGCCTGTAGAAGTACAAACGTAAATTTTCTGCTCTCTACAAGCTTTAGTTCTCGAGAAATTTGAATTTTAGCTTGGAACACATGATTAGCGAAAACTGTATTCGATATTTTTCGAAAACTAAAGCTTCAAAAAATTATATTAAATCATACTAACAGCAGAGTAGGCTTGTAGTCCGAGAATCGCTCTATTTGATCCATACTTAACCTTTCCCGAAACTTTGAAATAAAATTTTTGAGAATTAGCCGAACTTTGAGCAGATAAAATTGACGGGTAAAGAATTTTGGCAATTATCAAAAAAGCATAAGATTATGGTCTTTATTGTGCCTGGTTTTACAGTGGTTCGAAAAAACGGACAAAACTTTAGAGACAACCTAATAGATGCCCTATGTGGATCGTGTTTAAGTGAGCAAGTTAGAATTTTTGTAGGATTTTCATGAACTGAGTTACGATTTTTCACAATTTTTTAGGCAATCAAATTTTTTTAGTTTTTTGGCTCGAAGCTTGTGGTGGATCAGAGCTGTTGCTAAAGCAAGATAGCCATCTCGTAACGCTTGCTTTGTTCTATCGGATGGTGTCTTGCAACCTACTTACGTTAGAAATGAAAAGTGTATGACTTATTGCAATTGGAATTCAGAACCTGCATTAATTTCCGGACAACCTAATATTTTAGTGGTATAATCACATTTCTGACGGACACTGAAAAAACAGATATTTCCCTGAACCTGAAATAACTCATGAAAGCTCATATTAAGGTTTAGCTGCTTTGTATCGTCCAGTACAAGATTTCTGACTTTTCGGTTTTCTTCCTTAGGCACAAATCGCTTTCACTTTCCAAAATCCTTCTCAAAGTTCATATAATCCTACAGTAATAAAGAGTGATTGATGATTTGGTCCATACTGTATATCTAAGTTGGACCTCGCTCTACAGAATCAATACCTCAAGCTCCCCCAAATTCGGCGAAAGACTTGAAAGCAAGAGAGTTATTAAACGATCAAAAGTGTTCACATTTTTTTGGGACTCCGTGCGTAGCGCATCAATATTCATACTCTCAATACAGAGTGAACAAAGTTACTGTCGTTTAGTTTCAACTACCAGACATTTTTACAAAGCCAAAATTCAGCATAGTCAGCGAGCCATACAAAAAATTCATGACTAAAAATTAGGTGGAGACAAGGATCCAGCGAAGGATCAACCAGCAAAAAATTATTCGACAAAGTGGCTGATCTATGAGCTCAGCTCATCTCAGGTTTTGAAGATCAGCGCGTCAGATTACCCCAGACAATTTTAGATCGAAGATTTGCTAAGCCGCTAGATTCTAAAATTGAGTACCTTTCCATTGGCAGGACCCAATTTTCTATGAAGATACTTTTTTCTTCCTTGTATCAAATCTGCTCGTAACATACAGGAGAGGAGCATCAACCTTTTTGTGATAAATTTGACCAGGACAACATCTTTTGACACATGTTCAAAAAATTGACATGTCATCATGTTTAGAAGCTTTTAACAAGAGATTGTTTCTAATCAACAACGTCCTAATGTTTATTCAACACATTCGAAGTAAAAAATGACATTATACAAACATTAGTGTTTACTTAACATACTAGATTTGCTCAGTACAAGAAGTGGGCTAATTTCCGTCATCTGAGCCGTGAAAGAAGCGGTAGCCAGGTAACTCAAGTTATTTTCTTTAATTTTCCCTGTCTAAATACAAGCCGAGAATGATTCAAAACGGAAGATAATTAACTCGACAGAGATGCTCTAATAAACGCATTTTATTGCAATTTGATTTTACAACGAATTGCCAGCAGCTTCTGAGTCATTTCGAATGTTTTCATCCTGACCGAAAATGTTTTTGAAAGAAAAAGTTGAACTGAGCGTAAACGTGTTGATTCTTTGCTGTGCTCTCGTCTTTGTTTCAAAGTTGACGCTCCGGCGGGCGTGCATAAGTTAGCGGAATAGCGGCTGGTTTATTTCGTATTATATCGTCATCTTGAGAAATGTCCAACAGCATCAGTGCTAGTAAGAAAACTTCAAAAAACCCAGAATAGCAAGCTCAGCAAGTGTTCATGCTAGGTGTAAAACCGATGTAAGCAGATTATCCTTTATGAAAGTTTTCTCTTCAAAATTAGAGTTGCGATGCACGAGATATTTGCTACGCTGGAAAAGAAGTGCGAAAAAACTTGCGTGAATTCAGTTATATAGAGTGGAAGAGATCGATACATCCCAGAAAGTCATTTCGGGTAAACGATGCTTTTTTCTAGCATACATCCACATCTAAAGTTGATGGGTACTTTTCCGTTGAACCCGTTTTTCAAGAAAGGATAATGTTTTTTTCCTTGTACCTAGTTTGGTTATAACTTCACAGGAAGAAGAGTGACCTTTTGACATGTGTCAAAAATCTGAGTTGTTATTCATCTTAACAGCTCTTAACAAAAGATTTTTTGGTTCACTTACCAATGTACGTTAAATCTATTTTCTAATCAATCAACAACTTTTTTAACGATCCTTTTTTTACTGAGCAGTTTGAAAAGAAAAAAATGACATGCTTATGACTTATAATGACCGCTTAATGTGAAGGTGTGTAGAGTTTGTCAGTCACGAAATTACAGTGAGGAATAATCTACAATGCTTCAAGCATTTGAGATTTGATAAAGATGGTCTTTGTTTTCAACTAGATGTTGCTCGCTGCGGGCAACTTTGGAATGATGTGAGAAATAAGCTATTAGAGCGTAAGTTTACTCTTATTCCCTGATGACTGGTGCGAATTTTTGCGAAGCAGAGGTGAAGCACTGTTAGGAAGAAGTGGTTATTTTCCATCATCTGAGCGGCGGAACAAGCGGTAGCCAGGTGCCTCAAGTCATCATTTCTAGTCTTTCCTGACTAAAGTCACATGGCAAAAAGAATCAAAGAGGAAAATTTGAGTCATTACTGAAAGCGACAGTGACGTTCTAATAAACGCTTTGGGTTGTTTTGCTTTGACAGCAAACCGCATTTGAGTCATTTCAATGCTATCATATCTGACCGGTAATTTTTTGGAAAAAATCAAACTAAGCCCGTGTTGATTTTTATCCTTTCGAGGCAGGGAGACCATCTTCATAGGGTCCATGACCAAAACTGTTTGAGCTAGAATATATATATAAGAACATCTTAGAAATGGGTGACAACGAAAAAATATGATTGCACTTGAGGAGAGATTGACTTTTACAGATTTGCACAAGATAGACACAATTTTGCAACAAAGGTTTATTTCCATGGAGACAACAATCACGGAAATCGCAAAGAACTTTCGAAATCATGGAGCCTTCAATATGTCGTAGCAGCCGCTTTCGCATTCTCGGTACATAAGAAGATTGAGGTGTAATTTCTGCTCTTTCAAGTTGTCCATGCATTTGTCTATGCACTGTAATGAATTTACATCAGTTATCAAAAGAGCTTGTAGGAAACCCTGACCTGGTGGTAATCCTGGAGTCGGAGATGGCGTTCATAAGCACTCATGCCATATGGAAGATCAAAATTTGCAGCCTCATCCTCCATAGGATGCTGCTCCCCCGAACTGACTGGGCTTACAGGCTCGGATCCTGAGGAGCTCGACTCTGAGGAGCTCATGGACGATGACGAATCGGAGGATTCGGAGGATCCGGAGTTGGAGGAACTGGAGGAACAGTACACAAGTGCCAAAAGCGCAAGGAACAAAAGCTTGTGGAACAATATATTACCTGAAAATTGCAAATTGATTATTAGGAGATTTTTGTCAGTTCTTAACATTAAAGAAAGATAATTGAGAACATCAAAAAGCATCTACTGTTGATAAACTGTAATTGGTAGTAGCGGTGTTCCAGACATTTGAGATAGCATTTAGCATTTACGATAGAGTGGGAAATATAACGAGTTTGTTGAAGAAGCTGTTTGCTAGCCTCAAAAGTTGTAGACACAAAAAACAAAATCTTGAAAAAAGTCGTATGAGCTCAATCTTGAGACGAATTTTGTCTCTTCTTTCTATTACCGTTTGTCAACTCTTGGAATGAAAGATCAGGTTCATTTATGTTAGAAATACACAGAACTTTCTTCAACTAGCAAACGTTCCTCAAAGAATCCATCGGGCTTGCTCTTTCGTTCACACTTTTTAGCAAATACAAGGCATGTAAAAGCAGATCAAAAAATGCATCTTAAACTCTCTAAATGTTGTGCTGTTCTTCCCAAATTAACTTCGACTAAGTTTATAAGAATATTGCAAAGTAGTATGGCACTAATAGATAAAAGCGGCTTACCTAAAAAGCGATAGAGAATATCTTTCAGTTATGGCAGAATATTAGGCCTTTTGAAAAATGCTAATCGAAAATCGCATAAGCAGTCTGACATTCGTGGTAGCTTTGCTTCTATAGTAACCTAGCAGCAATAGTAGAACATTTGATATCATCCTTTTTTGAGCACACTACCGAAAACTACCGCTCTGCCAACTTCCAGTTTTGCTCGTTGAAAGAGAGCCCTGTTTTTGTATAAAATGCATCCTTCAATAAAACATTGTAAGCATTGCAAGATAGTTTGCGCACAATCACCGCAAGTTCGAGCCACATAAGGTTCGGCGGAAAGATTCAGAAACTTTGAACATCCAGGACTCGAATTTCCATCTAGAAGGATTCCGCGATGTTCCAACTTGATCAAGCATATACAATACACATCAGGGCCCGTAGTAATCTACCCTACCTGCTGGCAGGTCTTGCCCTCAACTCGCCGCGATCTCACCCTCAGGTCATGAAAACTGCCAACGCCCTCTCTAGGTTTCCCAAAGCAATAAGTCTGGCACTCTCCAGGTCTGAAGGTCCAGCTTAAAGGTGGGCACCAGATGGAGATCGAAAAAAATCCGAGAAATCCCGACAACTTTGAATTTTGGACCCAAGAGATTGACCTGCCGCCAACTTCGTGAGGTATTTTGTCGAGATTTCTGCCGCGATCTCGCCCTCAACCTGCCGGCATCTCGCCCTCATGTCAGCAAAGAAAGGAAAATAGCATGTATATTGAGGAGTGCAACTCGCCAGCATCTCGTTGTGGTCGGACCATGTCGAGATGCCGGCAGGTTCATGACATACACTCGCTATCTGGCGGATTTTTGATCAATTTCTTTATTTTCTATGTTTCTCTTTTGCTAGTGAGGTATACTTGTAACAGTCACAAATGTTCAAAAATCGCTGGCATGATGGGTTTTTCTAAGTTTTTTAAAGTTTTTTGTAAGATACAACAAGTTTTGAGTTTATCTGAGCTTTTGCTGGTCTTAAAATTCACTGTCGGTGTATGTCTATTTTATGTTTGTTACGTCTTAATCGAACAGCCACACGGTTGTAGATTCCTCATTGCCTGAATAAGCTTTTCCTTGATCTCTTTGAGAATTCCGATAGCACAACTATCGCATGCTTGACCAATTTCGATTTTTCCATTGTTTTCCTCTTTCAGCTTTGTTTCTACACTTCCCTTATGCTGACGGTGCATAACTGCCAAGGAGGTTTCAACCAGCCGAAAGTTCAAATGATTATGGTTCCCTGTTGGAGCATTCGCATCGTTTTTTGCGTCGTTGAAATCTCCATGTATCTGACACATCTTCTCTATGGAGGTTTGTTTAATTATCTTTTTTGGTTCTTTTATGATTCTTTTTACTTTTATCTTTTTGCTTTTGTCAGATTCAGCGTTTCGTTGCTGTTGTTCTTCACTTGCCTAAACCCTAACTAAACGCTATTTTATCGAACAAGTATAAGGTTTTAGGCCCTGGCCAGACTTCGCTCGAAGGCGCTCAAAAGCTCTCAAAAGCGCCTAAAAGCGGCCAAAAGCACCCAAAAGAGCTCAAAAGCGCCCAAATTTCTCTGGTGTCTCTTCACTTTCTTGTGTGAGGAGAGATGAGAGAGAGTGAGGAGAAGTTAGAGAAGTTTGGGCGCTCTTGGGCGCTTTTGACCGCTTTTGGGCGAAGTCTGGCCAGAGCCTTACTCCGCATCGTAAGCAAAAGTGGCCTTTACGTATCTTTCATTGTTAATGCTCATAGAGGGGCTTTCAGTTTTTGTGACACAGTCGACGTTGTTTGATTCCTCGCGAGCCGCCTTGCTCGGTGTCTCACGTGGTACAATAACGCATCCGCTAAGGTCTTCGCGATATCGGATGCGGTATTGTATCATGTGAAAGACCCAAGCGAGGAGTACCTGAACCGTGTCGACCGTGGCACTCAGAATAAACCTCTGTACGCTTGCTCACGCCTCGCTCGCACGCATGGCCGCTTTCGGCTTAGATCAAACTTTATATCTCCTAGGTTGTTAAACTGTTATCATTTGTAGGTGACTCTATTTGACATCACTATTATGTTCCTATTGTTTCAAGATGATGGTTTTCCAACGCAGACAGTTCTTCATTTTTGCAAAAGCAGTCTGCTTTTCTAAAGTTTTCAGAGTAATCCTACGTTTGAAAAGGCACTTTTGGAAGTTTTCGTTTTTTTTTGCTAGCCCATGAGCACAGGAAAAGCATTCTTACATGGAGAAAAGAATTTGCTTCTATATCATGTTTTTTACGATGAGTGTGGTTGAGACTGTCCTTCTCAAGGCAAACCTCCATATAGGTTGTTAACTATAACATAACTATAACATATAACTCGCAACTTCCAAAAACATTTAGGAATTGCTCAACCGTTTACTTGTAGCAAGCAGTTAAAATATCAGATCTGCTCTTTCGATGTTTTCTTCTGTAAGGTCAGTCGTATCTTTCAGATTCATACGCTGTTGGTGCTTTCTGTGATGTCTTAGGGTGAGAATGGAATTAACGAATGTTTACGTTTGGTGGAAAAGCAGTCGGATCGCTTCACACCTACGACTTCATCTTGCCAGGTAAAAATGCTTCATTTTATCACCTTAACTATAACTACTTCTGTTTCGACTCAGTTTTATCATTTTAGAGTGCAAGTTTTGAACTGGTGTCTCTCTATTTTGTCGACCCTACCATGCTAGGGGTTTTGATTGGCAAATGTGCGTCAGCAGTGACCATTTCAACCCCTATATCTGTGCACTTGAAGTAGATATACACTCGACTAGATTTTTTCAACATGGTGTGCTTGCGGTGCCAAAAAAATGCGGTGGAATTTGCGCGTGTACAATTAGCTACGCCTGTAATGCCTGCCATCTGCGCGCGCAAAACGGCGGCACTACTGGCATGCCTATATGTTCACGCACAAAGGTCACTACATTTTGTCTGCATCGCAAGCACATCAAATTAAGCGAGAAAATCTACTGAACTGTATGTTGTCGTTTTGGGTTGGAATAGGTCTGAATTTTTCGCCTTTAGTCAAACTGTTCCACCAACAAAGGGTAAGTAGCACATGGTAAATTGAACGGGGAAAGTTATATCTCTTTTTATGTTCTCTATTCTTTTTGCTTATCAAGAGCTATTCTCCTTTCTTCTTGTTCGGTATGGCTACAGTGGGCTCTCACGAGAACGAATGGGCAAGTAAAGTGCATTTTTGCATCTCATGCTGAGGCCTGCAGCACTTTTCAAAAGAAGCTGCACACATGTGCAGCTTCTTTTGAAAAGAGTAGGGTCATAACCGTTAATAAAGCTTCGCTCCAGCATATTCGTCGTTTCCATCCTTTTTCTGATCTCGAATTTGTTTGTAGCATACCATCAGCTTGACGCAGTGCCGTTTCGGGCCAAGTAAGCATTTCAGCAAGAGCAAAGCAAGTCTGTTTCTAACCCCTTCTTGGATTTACGTTGAGAATCCCGTCTCCACAGTTTTACGATTGTATGTTAAGAGGCGCGATTTTATTGCCAGCAGGTCATCAAATAGCATATAATTGTGTTTTACAACGTTGTAGATGCATTTGGAGTTTGTGAGAAGATACATCAAATGGCCGCACGGGTTGTTCAGTATATCACCACAAATTAAAATCGGAACGTATATGTTCAAGGTCAGAAACCCTTGGAAATGCAACTAACATCAAAATCGTAAGCATTTTAATCACTTTCATCAACATCTGTCCAAGGAAACTTTTGACAGCTAAATAGTACCCAACAAAGCACTTTGTTGGGTACTATTCAGGTCTTATAACGCTGAACTGCGCTTCTGAGTTCATGACCTACATAGAAATCGCGCCTGTGGACCGTCTTTCGGTGGGATCGAGGTTTTATCTCTACCCTAATGTGTCGACCGAAGGTTCCAACCTCAAACGGGGCAGTTGTACCTGACCCAAGACAAACACTTGCAATCATTCATTCACTATCTACAGGGTTTATCAAACGCAGTGTCGCTTGCATCAGCATCTCCACTCCAACGCTGGACTCTGCGTCTCTTCCGCGAAAATGCTCTCTAATCACTTCCAGTCGATTGAGGCTCCGCCTTTCCCAAGCTCGCCCTGGGAAAGTGAGCAGAGAGCATGTTTGCGAATGAGATGCAGAGCTCAGCGCGGGAGTGGAGATGCTGATGCAAGCGACACTGCGTTTGATAAGCCCTGTATAGCAGTTTTGTATAGCATTGCAACTAATAGCCTTGCAGACGAGCATTAATTTGAACTAAGGACTTGCGCGTCGTTGCTCGCTGACGCGACTGGCGCGGATTGACAAGTTCGAGAACTTGTTACCGGCTA